TTTTTTTTTTTTTTTTAGTGCTGCTGATATGAGCAGTCACCACTAGCACCCAGGGGGAGGCTCCATCTATTGGTGGGGAGCATCACCTGCTGGAAACCGGGTCCATGCGCAAAAGACAAAAATCATGGCCGTGTATCTTTTCATATTCTAGCGGAAGATTCACTCTCGTTTTGCACATTTCGAGAGTAGTGCAGCGAGGACCAAGATTCGCATGGCCCTTGCGCAAGGATGACACGCATAAACCGAGAAATGGTCCAAATTTAAAGAAAAAAGAAGAAAAAAAGAGAGTGGTAGCACAAACGTTTTTTTATTCGGAAGAAGCCGGAGGTCGCAGATGGTCATGATGTCTCACAGATTCGATACGAGGGGATCCACTTCTTATCTTTTTTTTTTTTTTTTTTTTTAACTTGATAGGCGGGAGCCCGGAATTGAGATACGGATCCTGTGTTCCCCCCCTCGAACACAAAAAGCTAACTACTTGATGGACGTGGGGGACAGAATGTCAAAAGAAAATTTTAAGCGGCTGTCAGCAAAAAAGAGGTTCATCCCTCATTACTGAATTGGATCACCCTTTTGACTCTTTTGAGCCCAAGGCCAGGAATACCAAGGGTATCCTTGAGAACGCTTGTTTATATTTTCAGGATATCCTTACTCCATCTAGGCCTACGTTCCCAGAGACAGGGGACCCCTCTCTTCAGGATGAGCTATGGCGTTTTTTTGACGCACATCTCCCAACTGAGGGCAGATTGGATCTGGACCGTCCCTTCACATTGGAAGAACTAATAGTAACTTTAAAGACTATGAAGAAAGGGAAATGCCCGGGCAGCGATGGGCTGCCAGTGGAAGACTATATTTGTTTCTAGGAAGCTCTTGGACCAGAATTGATGCATATCTTTAATAATGTTTTAGCAGGTCAGGATCTAGGGTATGACATGAGGATGGGCGTTATTTCATTGTTATATAAGAATGGGATAAAAGGAATATGCGCAATAGGAGACCCATCTCCCTCTTGAACACCTCCTACAAGTTCCTAGCTAAAACACTAGCGAACAGATTGAAAAAATATTTGTCGAAGCTTGTAGTAGAGGAACAGGTGGGTCTTGTACGGGGTAGGAACATCCTGAACAACATTATGCTGACCATAGAAGCCTTAGAGACCGTGCAAACTGACCAGCCAGAGGTAGTTGCCGTCCTTCTTGACCTCGAGAAAGCCTATGACCGGGTGAATT